TCCATGCTCGGCTTCAGACCTGCCAGGATCCTGCAGGAAAACCTAGCATGGGGGTGGGGAAGAGACAAGGAAAGATGGCTTGACAGGCTCAGATCCGGCTAGAAACCTAGTGTGCCTCAGTGGTGCCTCAGCTGGGCTGAGGCAGCCAGCCCCGAGGTTAATTGGGAGCAGGTGGGACGACACTTTTCAGTCACAGCTTACTCAGCACCACCCAGGCCTCAGCTCCAGAGCCTTCTATCCAGCTGTCTACATTTCCACTTGGAAGGAATAAGACAACCCAATCAATTGATTTTCCCTCCAAGCTCTAACGAATGGGATTTGGTCTTCCTGTCCAGCTGTTTTATGTGATTTTCTGTTTGGGGTCACAAACAAAACACAGACAGATCGCTGTATTTTCCTAGCTTGGTGAGAAACAACCATCACTAGCGAATGACCTGGTCCACATGCAGACGTCAGGGGAGGTCGGGGAACCGAAGACGCACAGTGGGTCGGCGTCGCCTTACCCCATCCAGAGCTCAGTAACAAGCAAGTAAGGACTTTTCTTGAAAATAGCCAAGAGCCTCCCCATGTTAGATGTAGAAAGTGACAGTTCGTGTTCTCTAGGGTTTTAGGTTCTAACTCTGGAATTAAAATGAAGGTGTAAAGAAGTCGGCTGACAGCTGGTGAGAAGGAAGCGGTTTGTCACAGCATTGTATCAGCAGTGGGGAGATCACATTGCCATCTGCATCACGAGGAAGCCCAGCCCCACAGAGACGCACCCAGTCTCACTCCAAGAGCTTCCAGATTGCTGTCCACGTGACAGCTTCCATGTCTGTCACATGTTCATGACCAAGCAGTGACTCTAGGTCATGTGCAGGACACAAGGACTAAGAGAAGGCTCTGTTTACTTCCTAGCCTTTGACCTTCCTAGTCTCTTTACCCACCCTGAGGGCAACTGAACCAATCAGAACCATCAATTATAGACATACCAAACAATTAAATTGAGAGAAATCAAAGGTAAGGTTTCAGTAACTTTAGTAAGTGCTGGTCTACTTGTAAACATCCCAGAACAGGAGAGAGAACAAGAGTTTGGCATGATAGTGCATGCGTATCATTTCAGCACTCTGGGAGGCTGAGGCAGGAGGATCAAATATTAAAGCCCAGCTTGAGCAACTTAGCAAGATCCTGATTAGAAATAAAAGGGGGAGAGTTGGGGTGTAGCTCAGTGTGACGGCCCTGGGTTCAATCCCCAGTACTGCAAAACAAGGAGGAGAAGAGAATTACAAGTACTGACGGCATGCTGGTCATTTTATGCAGAACTATCCTTATATGTCAGTGCATGAGAGTAAATATATAAAAGAAAATTCCTAAAGAAGTATGTGTGAGCAGATAGACAACAAGGATGAGTTCCTCCTTATCCTCCTGCTGTACATGGTTGTCTAATAGTTTAATCCCTGCAACAATTTATGAAATTGGTGTTATACTGAATTTGCAGATGAGAAAAACTGCAGCTTAGAGGAGTAGTGAGTGGAGACTCAGGGGTATGAACCCATATCTGTCTGCAAAAGCCCACATGGTTTTACCTACACACACGTACACACACACACGCGCGCGCACACACACACACACACACACGCGCGCGCACACACACACACACACACACACACACACACACACGGAGCCATTCCCTCCTGAGGCTGGTTTAGCAATACAAGCACTTTAGGAAGCTGCAGAACTGTTACAAGCCCGCCTCCTATTTTGGATCCAAACCAGGGGATCATAGACTACGCCTGCCACCTAGAGGCAGCCCTGGGGTCGAAGGGCATGGGACGCAGGCCAATCATATTCCAGGGTGACTGGGGCGCAAGTCCTTGGGGGCTGTCAGAGAAACACCACCCCCGCTGTGCCCTTAGCCAGCTCCTAGGAGAGGCCAATCCCACAACCCTCGGAAAGGAAAGAATATTACAGCCAAACACAAGAGGGAGTCTTCATCTTTGCAGAAATGAAAATAAAGAAAGGCATTGTCCTGTTCTATAATTATCTCTCCCTACTCCATCCCCAAAATAATTCAGGTCTTTATTTTGCATTTGAGGTCCATTTGCGTATGACTTGCAAAGGTAATTGCCATTCATTTGCCTGTTTTTGAATAAAGAGAAGTCCTGCTTGGAGCTTCTGATAGCATATAAATTAAAGATATGGAGGTATCTCATTGACATTCTACAGATGTGCTGATCCTACCCTCGGATCTCTCTCATCAAAAGATTTCTCTTGTAGTGCCGGTGCTGACTTATTAATAAAGATCATGCCTTTATTTGATTATTATCTAATTAAGATTCACCTTCGGTTAAGCTCATTAAGTCTGCTGCTAACAGAGTGTGTTTGATGGTGGAATTACACCTGAGACAGAGGATATTCCCAGGAGTTAATGGTGAGAAACAAAGGTGGGGTAATCCATAAGCCTGCGTCGCCCCTCAAGTAAAGCATGTGAACTCTCTGCCAATCAGGCAGAAAGGGCATGTATTAGAAAAGCTAAAGAAAAGTTTTGTAGAGTAAGGTAGAACATTATAATTAAATACACTTGGTAACACAGCAACAAAAATGACAAGTACTCTCATTATTCAAAAAAAACCAAGGAACTAATACACATTCTTTCTATATATTGCATAGAAGCAGCTTTTCTAAGTGGCTTGTGGGGGTGGTACTGGGAGTCGAACTCAGGATCTCACACTTGCCAGGCAGGTGCTTGTGCTGCTGAGCTATATCCCCAGCTCTTCTATTCTAACTTTTTTTTTTTTTTTTGGTACCAGGAATTGAACTCAGGACCTTGCACTTGTGAGGCAGGTGCTTATGCCTCTGAGCTCTATCCCCAGCCTATCCCCAGCTCTTCTAAGTGGCTTTTATGTGAACTTCTGACTTGGATTTAGGAAGTTGGTGCTCAAGGTGTCCTAGCCTGACCCCCGGTGACTTGCATTTAACCTGTTTGCCTCACTTGCTGGTTTCCTGAACTGGGTGTTTACAACCAGTGCGATCGAATCTCTCCTGGATCTTACAGCAACAGACAACTAAATCATCTTATTCTTACCTTATGTCTGGGTGCTGGGTTCAGCTGCTCTGGATGAATCTGAGTCCTAAGGCTGCTTGTCCCACAAAATTCCACTTTTTGTTGGGCTAAGAAACCTCTTGCTGCCAGAGCACCACAGCGAGAGCGGCGTGTGAACAGCAGAGCTGAGTTACCGGCCGAGGCCCGTGTGTCCCCTCCTAGGAAATGCGGCAGCTCAGACTTAGAGTTGTAATAAGCTAAATTATTTATCCAGTCGGATAAGAGAGAAAGCAGCTAAGAGCTTCATGAGTTTATAGCCTCAGCCCCTGGATTCATACTGAGACCGGAAGCAGGCCAGACTCCATCAGCAAAGAAGAAAAAAGCTTTCCAGCAAACCCCTTGCTTGTCACCTCTGACACCTGGCATAAGCCCCAACTGGGCACAAGTAAGCTGCTCCCATCCACTTCCTATGGCAAGCCCTACAGCAAACAAAGTCCCCCTGAAAGTGGCCTCTGCCCTCATTGAGCGTACAGTACGCCCACCTGGACAGACAGGAAAGCGCATGGAAAGTTAAATTTCTCATCCGTTCATTTGTTCATTCAGACATCCAGTGTGCCAGGTGCTGTGCTCAGGACTGGGGAACGGGTCCAGTGAGCAAGAGAAAACAGATGAAGATAAAACACCATCTGGCTAATGCAATGTGGGTAAAGGGTGTTAAATAGCAGTAAAAGGAGAAATGCCACGAGACGGTATGCAATTAATTTCTCAGCAAGCAGTGCATACAATAAAAGCCATGAGATCACAGTACTTCCTAGTTTTGGTTTTGATCTTTCTATAAACAACAGACGCAGCACCAGTTATCACCCCACCCCTGCAGTGGCTCTTCTAGCACCCCTCTCCCTGGAAGAGAACCGGGATGGCCGAGGCCAGCACTTTCTGGTCTTTTTTGTCAGTCATGTGTATCGGGCTGTGGGTCTGGATGGAATGGGGTCCACGGAGAAAGGAATGCCCCACCTTCCCAGAAATTCACCAGTCTCGGGAGGCATCCTTCCAGCCCAGAAAGATGACCACAAAGGCTTTTCATTGTAGGGTTTGGGAGGGGAGAACAAAAGCAAACACAGAAATCATCTATAAACTTGCTTTTTTTGTTTTTGGTTTTTTTACAGTGAATTAGGAAATCTTACACAATTTTTCATTTCCCAAGGAGGGCTGTACTTAGTCATAATTCTGCAAATATTATTTCTGCTGCTTGCTATCATCTCTAGACTTCTGGATCTAATTTATATCCCTTTTAAGCTATCTGTGCTTTTATACTCTGTTCTATATTTGCAAACATGACCTGTTCCATCTCAGTGCATTTCTTAAGGGCAGAAAACCTGCTTTATGCATCTTTTAAAACTTCTTGTCACTTAGCACATGGCCTTGTACATAATGGGCACTTAATGAGTACCTGTCAGGAGAACTGTATCATCTAAAAATGTGGGATGCACTCGCCATTTGAGTTTAAGGCCTTCCTTTGAGCCCAACCTGAAACTTACAAAGAACAACCCTGTCCTCATTGGGAAATATTCATGCAACTGAGGAGGAGAGGGGAAACTAGCTTGATGAGGGGTGGGAAAGACCCAACCCTAACAAGCTAGATCAGCGAGGTCACTGGTGACCATCAGCAGCGAGGCCAGTGTCCAAGGCAGGTTACCCTTAGGTGCAGGCCTGACCTCGCATGAACCAGTATTGGATGTGCTGTACCTAAGGCCCACGGTGTGATCAGTCTCATACAGATGCACAGGGGGAATCTGGGCAAAAACAGCAGTAAATTTAGCCATTCTATCAGCATTGCTTAGAAATTATCTTAGAAATAGCATTGGGCAAGAAAGAGAAGCCAAGCCCCATAAACCAGCCCTACAGCCCACCCCAGTGGGGTGCTGTCCACAGTGGGGTTTCGGTTCCTGATCATCTCCTGTCTGTGTTCCATTCCCTGTAGGTGGAATTGGCTGTGTAGGGCGAGACAGAGGCCAGGTGCGGAAATGCCTCGATGTGGTAGAGATCTACAACCCGGACGGGGACTTTTGGCGAGAAGGCCCACCTATGCCAACCCCCCTTCTCTCTCTCCGAACCAATTCCACCAATGCTGGGGCAGTGGACGGGAAGCTCTACGTCTGCGGGGGATTCCACGGAGCAGGTACTGGCCAGTTCCAAGTGCCGGGGAACCTCTCTGGGGGTTTATTTTGACCTCTCTTCACTGGGCCTATCAGCAATGACGTTCAAGTGCTGACAAAAATGTGGCTTTTAGGGCTCAGTGAGCAGCTCAGCAGACCTCTGTGCATGAGCTTTGCCTCCAGCAGATGCAGTGATGACATCTCCAGCTAGTTTAGGACGCATCTGCACACAGCAGACCCTCGATACGCAGCAGTTGGAGATAGAAACAAGAGAATGGGAGAAATGAGGCAGGGGGACAAACGCTTTGGAGGAATAGGAATAAAGGAAGGATTTCAAAACAGGTGGAACACATGGGAGCAGAGGAATGACCAGATGCCCTGGGTGGGATCTCGGTCTTTATTGACGGCATTCACACTACCCCACCACCACCACTTGAAGTCAATTGCTTGGCAGCATTTCTAAAACAATCCCCAGTGCATGTATTTGATACTGGGCTTGGTTCCATGTCTCCAAGTGGACCATCATTGCATTCTACAGTACGGATTCCTAATTTTAACATAACGGGGAGGTTTTTGGAGATGCATAAATCTGACAGACCAGTGTCTCCAAAATTTGATTAGTTGCATCAGTAAGTAAGGCAGAATGCAGTTATTTTTAAAATGACTGTTTCTCACCTCATTAACAGAAGCATTAGACCAGTGCATACCATGCAACACAGGCCTGAGGGCACTTCACATTTGGAAGATGCTGGATTAAAACAGGAGTGGTAGCTGGGGGTGGCGGCATACGCCTGTGATCCCAGCACTCAGGAGGCTGAGGCAGGAGGATCACTGTGAGTTTGAGACCAGCCTGAACTATATGTGGAGACCCTGTCTCAAAAACAAGAGCAAAAGCAAAACCCATGGCTGGTGTATCAGCAGAGCAGAGCCTCCTGCAGGCCTACCTCCCTTTTATAAGCACACAATTATATGTAACTTTAAGAGCAGGGCTTGGGGGCAAAGGATGCAGTTCAGTGTTACAATGCTTGCTTGGCATTGTACAAGGTCCTGTGTTCAACTCCCAGCATTGCAAAAAAAAAAAAAAAATGATAACAGGGTTTCCATTATTAATTCAAAGAGACTTCAAGCCATAAACAGATCCTATTTTGCTGGGGGCTTTTTTGCTTTAAACAATTTACTTAGCTGAAATGGACTTCTCTTTATTTAACTAAAGTGACTTCCATTTATTTTGGTACATCTTTTCCCCATGGTGATTTACAGGATCTTCAAGCCAATATAAATAGTTCATAAATATTGGGCCATTTGGGTGTACACCTACACAATACCTCAGCAATATCTCTCAGCAAGAAAAACACTGAAGAGTAAAGACCTGACACATTACTAGACAAAATGAAAATCTGCTCCAAATATTTGTTTCTGAGGTAAAGGCACCACACACCTGTTCAATTAAAACCATCCTTACAACACAGGATGATTTTTCATTTTTAAGTAGGACCTAGAACAGTTAGCTGCCAATTAGGTGCTGAATGGTAGAGCTACATGCCCAGCTTATGCCATGGATTCGTAGGGAACAGGTTCCCGCAAGTCAGGCTCCTTCCTATTGGTTCTCACGAAGTGAGCTTCTCTGGGCGGGGCAGGCCAGCACTTCCTTTGAACCCAGATACCTTCCTCTTTGGCTTCCTTCTTTTTCTGATCATTTTCCTTGACACATTTCAGGAAGCTATCTGGACTCTTTGAATGTTTGATGTGCTCAGTACACGTATTAATCCTCTTGGCAAGTATCTCGCCTTTAACCTGCTTGTTTACAACAATGCCAACAGCATGCTGGGTAACATTGTAGACTCTTCCGTTTTGCCATGGTAACAATTGTGTGGTGTTCCTTTTTGCACAGTGCCCATTCCTTTCGTGTCTACAATATCACCCTTTTTGTAGATTTGCATGTATGTGGCCAAAGGAACAACCTCATGTTTTCTAAAAGACCTAGAGAACATATACCAGGTTCCCCTCCTCTTTCTCTTTGTGTTCGTCATTTTGGCAAATTACTGGAAGATGGTGGTTCCAGCCTAGAGGAAGCCTTATTGTGTTCTTGCTTCAAAGAAATCCTCTGTAAAAAGATATTTTTCCGATAATCTGGGAAATTTGAATATAGACCAGGGTGTCAGATGCTATCAAGGAATTATTAATCTTACTAGGGATAATAATGGTATTGTAGTTTTATATAAGTGAAGGAAAATTCTGACCAATTAGAGACTCTTCAGAAGTATTTGAGGTACAAATGATATGCCGGGGCTGGGGATTTAGCTCAGCGGCAAAAGCGCCTGCCTGGCAAGCGCAAGGTCGTGAGTTCGGTTCCCGGTACCGGAGAAAAACCAAAAAAAAAAAAAAAAAAAAAATGATATGCCATCTGGAATCTGTTTGAAGTACTCTGTCTAGCAAAAATTTGTAATGAAAGAAGGGATACAAATAGATTTTACTATATTGGTAAGTGTTGATAATTGTCAAAGGTGGGTATTAGGTACTAGAGACTATTACTTTTGCTTTTTTGCTCTCTCTTTTCTTTTTGTTTTTTTGAGACAGGATCTCACTATGTAGCCCAGGCTGGCCTCGAATTTGTGTTGATCCTACTGCCTCAGCCTCCCAAGTTCTGGGATTACAGGCATGCACCACCACACCCGGCACCTACTTTTGCTATTTTACTACTGTGAGCTTGACTTTCTCTGTGTCCTTCAGAGACTTTCCAGTGAAGTTTTCACCATCTTTTCCATCTTGAGCATCACACCCCATGCTCAAGTAAAGACTGCGTTCCATCAGGGTGGCAAGAAACCTACCAAGCACAGGGCCTGTCTCAAAGAAGGGGTGAGCGGAGGGAGCTGGCGCGGGACCCCATCCAGCAGAGCTCTTCTCTGCCTCTGATCCCCTGGATGCCTCTCCAACCCCTGGGCTTTGGCTTTCTCTGGCCCAGAGGGAAGAGCAGAGAATCCAAGCAGTAGCCTCAGGCCTTCCGGAGGGAAGGGGTGGGAATGAGTGTCTGAGGAGCTGAAAGACACGGTTTTCCCTTATCTTATCTTACTTTGTATAATACTGAGTTACAGAGGTGATACCCCCCAGGTTTTCCAGGATGTATAATAAACTCACTGCAAGCCAAACTCCCCTCTTGGTATCATAATGGACTGATAATGCTTTCAGCCGGAGGGAGAAAGGTTTACTACACAAGCCTCAAAAGCCTGTTTTAATTATCTGGCTCTAGGGGGGCATATTGTGTGGGACTAGCCAGACGCACTGGATGCAAAGGAGAACGATCCTGTAACAGCTGCCCCCCAGACCTGAGCGGGCGAGGAGTCCTCTCTCCTTGCCCCGCAGTACATAAATGAGGCCTGTTTGCCCCATTTCCTTCTCAGAAAACCACAGTCAGGGACTTCAACTCTTTTAATATAGTCAGTTCAGGGCTGGGGATTTAGCTCAGCGGCAAAGCGCCTGCCTGGCAAGCACAAGGTCGTGAGTTCAGTTCCTGGTACTGGAGAAAAACCAAAAAAAAAAAATATATAGTCAGTTCAAGGAAATGTTGAAATTACTGAAATATATCATGGCCAGGCATTTGGAATAGAATCTCAATGTAGTCAACATTTAATGGGAAAGTATTTAAATGTGATAAATACACTAATTTGTTTTTTTATTAAAATAACGTTTTTAAAAGTAAATCTTTATTTTAACACCTTCATCTTACCTTCAAGCCCCCTAAGATGACAGGTAATGGAATAAGCACAGTAGTCAAAGAGTGGAAGAGGGAGGACAAGGACAGAATTTTGGAGCCTGGAGGCAGATGAACGAATAGAACTAACTGGACCTGAGAAGCTTTACCCTGAAACGGGCAGTGAGAGAAGAAAATACCCAGAAATCTCATTTGGACTGCAGAATCCCAGATAATCTCAGGAGGTGGCGAGGATGGGTAACTGCGTCTTCTGAGTCTTTTTTTTTTGGACTGGGAATTGAACTCAGCTTGCTAGGCAGGTGCTTGCGCCACTGAGCTATATCCCCGGCAGGATGGGTAACTCTGGAAGAAGGAATGGAGATGACGCGAAGATTGGTCGGAAGACAGAAAGACGCCTGTCACCTGCCCCAGACTAGCTGTGAGACCAAGCCCTTCCTTCCCCCGGGTGGAGGTGCAGTGGAGCAGAGAGCTGGGGCCAGGCATCCAGAACTGAAAACTGGGGTTTGGGGAAAGACTACACACCAACTCTTGAGAGCCCCAGCTTCCTTCCCTTCCAGGAACCCCAGACGTGCGCAGCCATCCCCTCCAGGCCTCACAACAAGGCAAAGCCAGATCACTTTGCAGCGAATCTCAAAACCAGCCTCCATGGTACGGTTGTGCGAAATCCCCTCCTACAAAGGAGGGCCACCAGACGTTTGGAGCATGTATATAAAAGACAGAAATCAAAACAGTAAACCAACTGAGGGGAAGCAGATTGTACCAGGAGAAGAAGGATCCTCAGGGACATAAGAGACTGCTGTGCCAGGACAAATTCCCAGAAAGCACAGCAACACAATTAGATGTAAAAGGATGGAAGAGAAATCAAGTCCAGAGGGCCAAAGATTTGAATAATAGGAACTCTGGCAATAGAGAGCAGAGAAAACCGCTAGGCATGGTGCTCGGAATCCCAGCACTTGGGAGGCTGAGGCAGGAGGATGACTGTGAGTTCCAGGCCACCCTGGGCTACATAGTGAGTTCAAGGTCAGCCCTCTCTGAGACCCAGAGAATAGAGAAAATGGAGGAAAAGAAGCCATCATGAAGTAAGTAAAGAAAAATTTCTAGTACTAAAGTCACCAGATCAAAAGGAGACACCAAATGCCTAGGACAGCAGATGAAAACAGACCCAAACCAAGCACATCACTGTGACCTTACAGAATATTACAGATGAATAAAAAGTCATAAAACTTTCTAGAGAGAGAGAAGAAGTTCCACATAACATACCAAGAATTAGACTTCTGAACTATGACATTGGAAATGAAAAGAAAATAAAACAAATGCCTTCAAAACTCTGAGAAATTATTTTCCACCTACACAACCATACTCTCTGAACTATTAAACTGTGAGGGCATGTTTCCAGACAGGCAACGTCTCGCATTGTTTCCCTTCACGTTTTTATCAGGATATTCTTTGAACTGGGGAGACTGAGCTGGAGGACTGTGAGCGCAAGGCGGGCCTGGGAGAGTGGCTTCACCAAAAAGGAGCTGGGGATGCAAAAAAAGAGTAGATGCAGGAAACAGGACTAGACACCACAGGCAGGAAAGAAAATCCCTGGGAGGACACTGAGGGAGAACCAAGACTGGTGGCTGCCCAGGCCCAAAGAGCAACCCACACAGAGCAGAGGTCAAAAGGCTGTGGGAGCAATGTCTTCAAGAAGAGAAACACACTGAATCTTCATGTTTTGAAAGAGGGTTACACATTTGAAGAGCAGTGAAAACTAAGAGACACAAAGCAACTTGAGAGCAAACGGCAAGTTAGGCAGGAAAGGGAAAGTACTCCACACAGCTCACTGATGAGCATTTATAACGGTGATGGCAGTGTTGAGCTAACCAGAGCTAGGCCTTAACTGTGCTGGAAAAATGGGGGGACAGAAAGTAGGCAAGTGACCCAGGCATGGTGGCACATGCCTGTAATCCAAGCACTCGGGAGGCTGAGGCAGGAGGATCCTTGTGAGTTCGAGACCATCCTGGGCTACAAAGTGAGCGCAAGGCCAACCTGAACTGCATAGGGAGACCACACCTCAAACAGACAAAAAGAAGAAAAAAAAGTAGGCAGGTGTGGTGGGGACCAGAGGGAAAGCTGAACCCACAGTTCCCAGAGAGTTGAGTTTTCTGTGCCTCTGTCTTGGTCTGCTTTCTGTTGCTGTAACAAAATAACTGAAGCTAGGGGGCTCATAAAGAAAAGAGGTTTGTGTAGCTCAAGTTTCAGAGGCTCAAAGTCCAAAGTCAGGTATCAACTGTCTGGCCTCTGCAGGGCCCCCTTGGCCACATCTCACTGTGCCACATGACATCAAGGTGACATTGCACACGAGGGGCAGGTCACATGGCCAGGAAGCCGGGAGGATGTGGGAATCGGGCTTGCTGTTCTAGAGCAGCCTGCTCTCTCTGGAACCAACCAGAGCCCTGAGAACTGTGTCCATCCTTTCTAAAGATAGCATTGACCTAATTACCCTCCCTAGGCCCCGCCTCTTAAAGTGCCCCCCTCCTCCCAGGACCAGGAACATGGCCCTGGGGACAAGGTCACCAGCACACAAATCATTAGAGGACACACTCAAACCAGGGCCCTCATCATCTGAGAAGTGGAGAAGTGGCAGTAATGTTCTAAAAAAAATGTCATTAGCAGGTGTAGTGGTCAAGGCTAGAGGAGTCAGGGTAGAAAGAGAAGCAGTTAATGGAGTAACATTTTTAAGGACTATAACTTACCAAGTTATTTGACAGTAAGTCATGTGAATGGGTAGCTGATGAAAAACTATACTTCAAACACACAAGTATGGTCTGTATCAGTGATGGTGACTGTTTTGGAGCTTTCAGTGATACAAACATCCCGCTGTGGCACACGTGCTGTAGGTTCGCCACCACTGGTCTATATGGTAAAGGAATACTAAGGAGAGAATTAAGGAAAGTATTAGCAGATGCATAGTGGACATCCAGTCCCCGTGGGTCTTGTGACTGTGTGGTGTCTCAGGAGGGACCCCAGCAGCCTTCACTCTGGACTGTCCCTCCGAGCATCTTTCTGTCACAGACATTGTGGGCACTGTGCTATCTTCCTCCAGGCAAAGGGCAAGCCTGGGACACTCTGGGAGGTCTGTTCTCCACCACCAGCCTGAGCTCAGGAAGCCAGCATTGGGCTTCAGGAAGGCCAGGGCTCGTGGCACCAAGCCTTCTGAAATTCTTACAAAATATGGAAGAAAGGGCACTTCCCAACCTGTTCAGGGTCCAGTGTTACCCTGATACCAAAAGCCAGAGAAGGATGCTGCAGAAAGAAAACAATAGGTCAATATCCTTTCTGAATATAAATGCAAGAGTCTTCTTTTGAGATCTATAGTACTGCACATTTTGTGAATTAAAAATATATGCATAAGCCAGGCATGGCGGCTCACACCTGTAATCCTAGCACTTGGGAGGCTGAGGCAGGAGGATTGCTATGAGTTTGAGGCCAGCCTGGGCTACAACATGAGTTCAAGGCCACCCTGAACTGCATAGTGAGACCCTATCTCAAAAAGACAAACAAAAAGAAAAAAAAAAGTATATATTTATATATACATAAAGGGGTGGTGGTGCACACCTATAATACCAGGAAGGAAGCTGAGGTAGGAGGATCATCACAAGTTTGAAGCTAGTGTGGGCTACAGTGAGTTCAAGGTCAGCCTGGACTACAGAGCAAGACCTTGACTCAAAAAAATAAAAAATAAAATAAAAATAAAAAGTATTATCTTCTTCTAGTGGGAGAAGAGAAGCCAGAACACCCTAGGAG